TGTGTCTCCCTCTCTCTCTGCCCCTCACCCGTTCATGCTCTGTCTCTCTCTGTCCCCAAAATAAATAAACGTTGAAAAAAAAAATTATAAAGGAAAAGAATGAGGGGCACCTGGTGGCTTGGTTGGTTGAGTGTGTCTGACTCTTGGTTACGGCTCAGGTCACAATCTCGTGGCTTATGAGTTCGAGCTTTGCGTCAGGTTCTGTGCTGATGGCGTGGAGCCTGCTTGGGATTCTGTCTCTCCCCCTCTCTCTACCCCTCCCCCACTCACGCTGTCCCTATCTCTCTAAAAATAAATAAAGAAACTTTAAAAAAAATTTATTTTATTTTATTTTATTTTATTTTTAAAATTTTTTTAATGTTTATTTATTTTTGAGACAGAGAGAGACAGAGCATGAATGGGGGAGGGTCAGAGAGAGAGGGAGACACAGAATCTGAAGCAGGCTCCAGGCTCTGAGCCGTCAGCACAGAGCCCGACATGGGGCTCGAACCCATGGACCATGAGATCATGACCTGAGCCGAAGTCGGACACTCAACCGACTGAGCCACGCAGGTGCCCCCCAAAAAAAATTTTTTTAAAGGAAAAGAATGAGGTCAATGGTACAAAGCTCCCCATATAGCAACATGTATGTGTCTAGTACTCGAATACGAGGTATCAAAGAAGTCTGGAAATGTGGGGAAGTGATTTTTTTTTTTTCAGGTTAATGGTCTACTTATAACTTTAAATAGAGAAGTACTTTGCCCACAAATGTGTCTGAGATTGAAAGAAAACACATTAAACATATCACTTGAAAATACAACTAGTTACTGTGTGAAACTTTTCTTGCAGCATGATTTATAATAGCCAAGACACAGAAGCAGCCTAAGTGTTCATTGGTGGATAAGACAAAGAAGATGCCATGCACACACACACATACAGTGGAACTGTTATTCAGCAAGAAAGAAATCTTGCCATTTGCAACAACATGGATGGAACTTGAGGGCATTATGCTAAATAAAATAAGTCGGACAGAGAAAGACAAACACCATACGAAGCCAGTTCTTTGCAGAATCTAAAAAAGACCCTGAACTCATAAAGAGGACAGACTGGTGTCTTCCAGAGGCACCGGTCAGGAGGTGGGGAAAATGGGTGAAGGGGGTCAAAAGGTACAAAGTTCCAGCTATAAAATAAGTAAGTCCTAGAGATGTAACGTAGAGCATGGTGACTATAGTTAACAATACTGTGTTGTATATTTGAAAGTTGCTGAGAGACCAATCTTAAAAGTTCCCATCACAAGAAAAAAATGTTTACCTATGTGTGGTGATGGATATTCACTAGGCTTATTGTGGTGAACAGTTCACAGCATATATGAGTATCAAATCATGTTGTACATCTGGAACGTAACGTTATATGTCAGTTCTTTTTTTTTTTTTACACTTATTTTTTATATTATTGAGAGAGAAAGAGACAAAACATGAGTGTGGGAGGGGCAGAGAAAGACGGAGACACAGAATCCGAAGCAGGCTCCAGGCTCCGAGCTGTCAGCACAGAGCCCGACGTGGAGCTAGAACTCACAAACTGGGAGATTGTGACCTGAGCTGAAGTCAGATGCTTAACCGACTGAGCCACCCAGGCGCCCCTGTTATATGTCAGTTCTAGATCTCAATTTTTTTAAAAAGATAAATTTAGCAACATATATTTTTAAAAATATATTCAAGAGGGGCGCCTGGGTGGCGCAGTCGGTTAAGCGTCCGGCTTCAGCCAGGTCACGATCTCGCGGTCCGTGAGTTCGAGCCCCGCGTCGGGCTCTGGGCTGATGGCTCAGAGCCTGGAGCCTGTTTCTGATTCTGTGTCTCCCTCTCTCTCTACCCCTCCCCCGTTCATGCTCTGTCTCTCTCTGTCCCAAAAAAATAAATAAACGTTAAAAAAAAAAAAAATATATTCAAGAAAGTAAACACTACAATAACACGTGATCACAGAAATCATTAACAACAAACAGTCTTGTCTTAGATGAGAGTCTTCCAATTCAGTATAAATACCTAGTGCTCCTTGTAACCCTAAACATGATGCTTTAAAAAAGAACCTTAAGTTCGCTCCATTTTACTTAAACATAGTTTGCATACTTGATTAATGGACATGATGTTCTGCAGGCCTCACAATTAATCTCAAAATGTTGCTAATTTATGCACTTACCTATTTGTACCACAGTGGGACCCAGTTTCCCCTTCTCAAACATGAGCTCTGGCCCCATGAAATGCATCAGAAATAGCGGGATTCATGACTTTTAGTGCCTGACAATGACTTGGTTTAAACAGGAAAAAAAAAAAATTTTTTTTTTCTTTGTTTCAACTTTTCAAACACCTCTTTGATTTTGGTTCATACCTACCTAATTCTTTCACTCTATTAGTTCCAGCATTTAAGAAAGGGAGCAAACAGTTTAGTTCATGGAGCTCAGGCGGTAACGTCAAATAACACTCCCAGGCTCCTTGTCCTCAGTCGGCCACCCTGATGCGTAAGACGTCTCTTAGGGGTCTCACATCCTTCTAGAGGCAATGACACACTCCACACCCCTAAGGGAGTCTTCTTGCTGTCTTAAAGTTTGGATTTGTTCAGATGCTATTACTTCTAAGGACAGGAGCTGAAAAAGAACTAGGAGGGGAAGAGTAATGTTAAATAAAGCGAAGTGACAGCTTTAAAGAGGAAATGAGAGACAAGGCAGGGGAACTTGAGAAAAACTCCCTGAGTTTATAACTAGTTTACATATACACCTTTGTGGTTTGCCAAGAGGTCTGGAGTGGCTGCCTGTTTAACTAGCATGGAGTCTTAGTATTGGAAACTTTGCGAGACACGGCTTAACTTTAGATCTGATGGATATTCAGAAAATCACTCAGGTATAGTAAGGCTTCACCCATCATCACCCTGCAAAAATGCTCGTGAGATTAAAACAATTCCAAGTTCACACATTTAATCCAACAACTTTGCTTGCAAGAGAAAACCTGATTTGGTGAATTTAGGTTCAAGTTCAATGCTGTCTGTACCTAAGCCTCACAACCACTGAAAGGCTTAAAGACTTTTTTACATTATCAAGTAACACTTAAAACTTAAATCACTGTTGGTTCACGTGTTTCTAAAAGGAAAACACAAAATGTACCTAATGTCAAATTATACAAGAGCTGGTAAGCAGCTCAAGAAAGCAGAAAAGCTTTTCAAAGAGCTGGATTGGACACCTGTGCTAGTCACCTGGAAACTTCCAAACAGGCCTGAGAGACCTCTGAATCAATTTCCACAACAAAAAAGTAATAATTTTCTTCCAGAAGTTTCTGGAAGTAGTAGGTTCTGTCCTACTAAGGTAGCCGTGCCAGTTAAATAGGATGGGCTTTTATTTACATGACTATTTACCTGAAGAAATGCCTCTCTTCCCGTACTAAGTGCTTAGGGTATTACAAAACACAGCTGATTTCTTTCTTCAGTATCCAGTTAATCAGGATTAAATACACACATACACACACGCTTTGGTGTTCTGCAGAGACAAGAAAACATATTACCCAATGTCTTCAGCTCAGTAGAGGCAGTACAAGATTTCATCACTGTCCCTGACTCCTATTATTTAAAAGGAGGCTCCAGGGGCGCCTGGGTGGCGCAGTTTGTTAAGCGTCCGACTTCAGCCAGGTCACGATCTTGCGGTCCGTGAGTTCGAGCCCCGTGTCGGGCTCTGGGCTGATGGCTCAGAACCTGGAGCCTGTTTCCGATTCTGTGTCTCCCTCTCTCTCTGCCCCTCCCCCGTTCATGCTCTGTCTCTCTCTGTCCCAAAAATAAATAAACGTTGAAAGTAAAATTTTTTTTAAAAAAATAAAAGGAGGCTCCAGAAGGCTCAGTAAAAACCTCCACGACTATTCACAGGTGCCAAGAAATGGTCAGAGATAAAATTCATAGTACTGAACTTCATTCTACATAATAAGAGGCACTGATTTCACTTATAATTAGCAATTCTGCATATGGTGATTTTAGATTTGAAGAGACAATGACGGTGTTTATCAGACATTTTACCAGACATAGTTTTGGTTTTATTTATATGGTTTTTCTTGCAATAAAATATACACACCATAAAATGTACTATTTTAACCATTTTAAGTTATTCATGGCATTAAGTACAATCACAATGCTGTGCAACCATCGTCATAACAGATATAATTTCGTGTAATGTGCATAGCACATATTTCAAACCTATGGTTATACAAATTTCTTAAGCAATGCACTTGTATAACTTGTATAAAAATCATAAATTAGGGCAATACATATATGTAATTATAGTCAGCTTGATGCCTTGATTTTTAAATTGTTTACAACTTCTTCAGTTTTATGCTATGCAGTAAAATTCTCAACTTGTAAACTCAAAATCTTCTGTTATCTTCTCAATAAAATTAGCAGTACCACTTACAGAATATGAATTTCAGAACATGCTTTTCCACATTCATCCAATTGGTATTTTATTTTCTCATTATTAATTCTTTGCTGCTTTATTAAAAGGCTAACTGCACGTTCTCCCACATTCACAAAGCTTCCATATGTTTATGAGTTCTTTGATGGACAGTGAGATGTGTCTTCTGGTTAAAACATCTCCCACATGCACTACATTTGTTATGTTGCTCTGCTGTAGGAGTTAAGTAATGTTTAAGGAGACGTGACTTCTTGATGAGGGCTTTTCCACAGTTCGTACACCCGTGGGGTCTCTCGCCTGTATGAATCCTCTGATGCATGACAAGCACTGAGGCTTTGCGACATTCTCTACATCTGTAGGATTTCTCTCCTATATGAAATCTAGAACGTTTATAAAGGGATAAACTGTACTCAAAGGTTTTCTCGCATTCCTTACATTCAAACGAGTTCTCGAGTGCATGAGATTTCACATGTTGGGTAAAGGAGGAGTTGTGAGTGAACAACTTCCCACACGGATGGCATTCATAAGGCTTCTCTCTAGTGTGAAATCTCTGGGGGACCACCAGTTGTGCTTCGTGCACAAATGCTTTCCCACAATCACTGCACACAAAGGATCTCTCTCCACTATGAATTTTTTGATGGGCTATAAGGCGTCCCTTACTGTTAAAGGCTTTCCCACAGTCATTGAATTCAAAGGGTTTTTTTCTCTTGTATGCTTTTTTTCATGTCTAACAAGATGAGACCTCTTTTGGAAGGCTTTCCCACATTCAGTGCAGCCAAAGCTTTTTTTCCTTCTGTGCTTTTTTCTCATGTCTAATAAGACAAAACTTGTTTTTGAAGGCTTTTCCACAGTCTTTGTATTCATAAGAATTTTCTCCAGTATAACTTTTATTATAACTAAGCCAGTGTGAATTAGGTTGCAGACTCTTTCCATTTGACTCACATTTATGTTGTGTTTGTCTTGTAGAAATAAATTTTATACTCAGGTTACGATTTTGGACTCTCTTCATGGTCAGTGTTTTCTTGAAGGTGAACATATCTTGATTCAAAAAATTGTCTTTGCTTCCCTCCTGTCTCTCTAGTGCATCATCAAGTAAGCAGATAACTTCTAAAAAGGTATAAAATTAAACATTCCCAGTTACTCTTTCCAATCTCATGTTAGGAAAAGAAAAATTTTAGTCTATAATATCAACAAGGATGCCTATTCTGACCACTTCTATTCAACATAGTCCTAAAGCCCTAGCTAGACCAATTAGGTAAGAAAAAGAAATAAAGGCACCCAAACTGGAAAGGGAGGCATAAAGTATCTCTGTTCACAGATGACATGATCTTATATGTAGAAAACCCTAAAGAACACACACACACACACACACACACACACACACACACACACACACAAACCTATTTAGAACTAATACACAAATTTGGCAAAGTTGCGGGATGCAAAGTCAATATACAAAAATCAGTTGTGTTTCCATACACTAAAACAAATAACCCAAAAAGGAAATTGAGAAAACAATCCTATAATAGCATCAGAAAGAATTAATTAGGAATAAACTTAACCAAGGAAGTGAAAGACTTGTATATGGACAACTACAAAATACTGCTGAAACTAAAGACAAGTAAACTGACTTCACAGACTAGAAGACTTAATATTGTTAAAAATGTCCATACTTCCCAAAGCGATCTACAGATTCAATACAATTCCAGGGGTATTTTTTGCAGAAATACAAAAAAACAATTCTAGAATTCATATGGAACCACAAAGGACTCAAATCGTTAAAACATTCTTGAGAAAGGGAACAAAGCAGGAGACTTCATACTTCCTGACTTGAAACCATATTTCAAAATTACAGTAATCAAAATAGTATAGTACTGGCATAAAGACAGGCAGGCACCTAGACCAATGGAACAGAAGAGAGAGCCCAGAAACAAACGCATGCATATATGGTCTTCAACAAGGGAGCCAAGACTACACAATGGGGAAAGGATGGTCTCTTCAACAAAGAGTGCTAGGAAAACCGGATATCCACATGTAAAAGAGTGAAATTGGACCCTAATCTTACACCACACACAAAAATCAACTCAAAATGTATTAGAGACTTAAATGTGAGACCTGAAACTATAAAACTCCTAGAAGAAAACACAGGGGGAAAGCTTTGTAAGGTTGGTCTTGGCAAGAGTTGTTGAATGACTCCAAAAGCATTGGCAACAAAAGCAGACAGACAACTGGAACCACATCAAATTCAAAGGCTTCTGTGCAGCAAAGGAGACAACCAACAAAGTGAAAAGGCAACCTACAGAATGGGAGAAAAAAATGTTTAAAAAACACTTGCCAGGTAAGAGGTTAATATCTCAAATCTGTAAGGAACCCCCACAACTCAATAGCAAAAAATGGGCAAAGGACGTTAATAGGCCTGTCTCCAAAGGAGACATACAAATAAATGGTCAACAAGTACATGAAAAGATGCTCAACATCATTAATCATCAGGGAAATGCAAGTCAAAACCACAATAAGAGAACACCTCGCATCTGTTAGGATGTCTATTATAAACAACAACAACAACAACAGAAAATAACCAGTATTGGCACAAACACATGGAGATAACGGGACCTTGTGCACTGTTTGTGGGAATGTAAAATGGTACAACCACTGTGGGAAACACTATGGAGTTTCCTCAAAATACCAAAAAGGGAACCAACATATGATCCAGAAATCCCACTTCCGGACATTTATCAAAACAACTGAAAACAGGATTTCTAGAGATGTTTACACTCCCGTGTTCACTGCAGCATTGTTCACAATAGCCAAGAGTTAGAAACAATCTAATGTCAATTCAAAGGTAAAGGGATATGGGGCACCTGGGTGGCTCAGTAGGTTAAGCGGCTGACTTCGGCTCAGGTGATGATCTATCTCATAGTTTGTGGGTTCGAGCCCCGCGTCAGACTCTGTGCTGACAGCTCAGAGCCTGGAGCCTGCTTCACATTCTGCGTCTCCCTCTCTCTCTGTCCCTCCCTGTCTCGCGCTCTGTCTCTCTCTCTCAAAAATGAATAAACATTAAAAAAAATTTTTTTAAAGGTAAAGGGATAAAGAAAATGTAGTATCTACATACATACTATTTAAAAAAAGAAGGGGGGCGCCTGGGTGGCGCAGTCGGTTAAGCGACCGACTTCAGCCAGGTCACGATCTCGCGGTCCGTGGGTTCGAGCCCCGCGTCGGGCTCTGGGCTGATGGCTCAGAGCCTGGAGCCTGTTTCCGATTCTGTGTCTCCCTCTCTCTCTGCCCCTCCCCCGTTCATGCTCTGTCTCTCTCTGTCCCAAAAGTAAAAATAAAAAACGTTGAAAAAAAAAAAATTAAAAAAAAAATAAAATAAAAAATAAAAAGAGAAGGAAATTGTATCATAAGCTACAACATGGATGAACCCTGAGGGCATTAGGCCAAGTGAAATAAACCAGTCACAGAAGGATAAATACTGCAAGATTCCACTCATATGAGGAATTTAAAATAGTCAAACACGTAGATATAGAAGGTAGAACGGTGGTTGCCAGGGGCTGGGAGGGGTGGAGAGATGGGGAGTTGTCATTCAGGAGGTACAGAGTTTCAGTCACGCAAGATGAAAAGGCTCTAGAGATCTGCTGTTCAACGATGTGCGAACAGTTAACAAAATTGTACTGTACACATAAAAATCTGTCCAGAGGGTAGATCTCCTATTCTGTGTTTTTTTACCACACACACACACACAAATCTCTCTTGGAGTCTACTTCCCCATTCTGGACAGCAAAACAAAAGAAATTTGTATTTGCCCTACCCCTGGGCTTTAAGAAAAAATTGCTGAAATGGGGTCTTGTGGAAAACAATAACGACAAATAGCTTTTTCTATTTGTAAACGAGACTTTCCAACCTGTGGAAGACGTGAAACAGGAACAAGGTGAAGTTACGATGACAAAGGATGCTAGAAAGCACTCTTAACAAGGACACAAAGTTTTAAGCTCTGAGAACAGAAGAGCCATGTCAGAGAAATGAAAGGGTGATCAGAGAAGCAAGACATAAAAGTATCATGGGGAAATGAGAAGATGTGGATTGGTTTGGAGAAGCTTAATAAGAGTCAAGGCCAACAACATCTAAAAACTAGATTACCCTGGGGGCCCCTGGGTGACTCAGTCGGTTAAGCGACTGACTTCGGCTCAGGTCATGATCTCGCAGTTCGTGAGTTTGAACCCTGTGTCTGGCTCTTATGCTGACAGCTCAGAGCCTGGAGCCTATTTTGGATTCTGTGTCTCCCTCTTTGCCCCTCCCCCATGCTCTCTCTCTCTGGCTCTCTGTCAATAATAAATAAACATTAAATTAAAAGAAACAAGATTATCCTGTTAGGATCTTCCTAATCTCCTTCATACAACTCTCTTTCTCCTTCCCCTGCACACAACCACCAAATGACTATGAAACCATTAACTCCCTTTTATCCGTAAGCACACTCCTATATCCTCTCAAATCATCCAAATCACGGCTGAGGCCTCTGTGTATAAAACTGTCCAACTCCACTTCCAGCTAGGATTCAGCCCCCAAAGCCCGCATATACCCAGGAACACAAGGAGAGGCCCAGAGGAACATTTGAAAGACCAGCCATAAATTTTTGTTTGCGTCTATCATCAGCTATTTCTACCACTTTTCATGACTTTGTCCTGAAAATTACAACCTCTTTCAATTTCCTAGATATAACACTCTCCAGAACCCTGCTTTGCCCATGACACCACACCCTTCAACTCAAAGTTTCCATTTTGGTTTCCACACTTATGATTTCTATTAACTTTGGGGACCTGAAACACAAGGCTTCTAGTTTATAGCAACGTTTGCCTTTATATATTTTGAGGTCAAGGTCAATTCTGATGGTTACCATGAAGTCAATGTAACCTTGTCCAATGTAACAAAATCACTGCCAAGCTCAAATCCCTACAAGGCTAAGTCCGCTGATAATAAGAATGTTAGGGAAATGGGGAGAAGATGGTTCTTCACTATTTCTGAGATTTGATTCCCTTCCATCAAGACGGAGTATTATTAGTGCAACACTCTAGACTCTTACCTCATTCCTTGTTTCTGAAAACCACACAATCTGACTACACTGTAAGAGCCAGACACACAGAAAATATCTGCGATCACGTTTAGGAAGGAAGAAGAATGAGGATTTGGGGAATTAAGAGAACAAAGCAAGGACCTACATAAAACAGGCAGCGTAGGAGCCCGGGCAGAGAGGAGAAGAGGGAGGTGGAAGCATAAACACACATTCTCTGTTTATGCTTCATCTCAAAGGGGATCAAGAGTCTGTGACCACTGACATTCAGGGCCAAACTCCATAATGCTTTAGAATGTCCACAAGTCCCACAGGAAGGGCACTATGAGTACATGCTCAGTTACAGTGAAGAGTTAGTCACCACCCACTGTCCTTACCCACTGAGGTGAGGTTTCTAAAGTTCTCCAGCATCACATCCCAATACAAGGTTCTCTGATCACAGTCCAGCAGCTGCCACTCTTCTGGGGTGAAGTCCACAGCCACATCCTGGAATGTCACCGATCCCTGTAACGGCACATTCGTCTTTAACCGTACCGCTGGGGAAAGTGGAGGGGATTAAGAGCAATTACTCTGATTATGTTCATTGTTCTCAGTCTGCAATAAGTTATACAGGGTAACTAAAAACTACTATGTACTAGACTCAGAATTAAAATTTGTGAGAGAACATGGGGCGCCTGGGTGGCGCAGTCGGTTAAGCGTCCGACTTCAGCCAGGTCACGATCTCGCGGTCCGTGAGTTCGAGCCCCGCGTCGGGCTCTGGGCTGATGGCTCAGGGCCTGGAGCCTGTTTCCGATTCTGTGTCTCCCTCTCTCTCTGCCCCTCCCCCGTTCATGCTCTGTCTCTCTCTGTCCCAAAAATAAATAAACGTTGAAAAAAAAATTAAAAAAAAAATAAAATTTGTGAGAGAACAAAATCATATTCAAATTGCCCCACTACATACACATATACACACATGTATATACACACACACATATATATACATTCATATATAATGGGGAGGTACAGAGGAAGAGAAGGAAAAAGAGAGAGAAAATATTAAGTTCACTGAGCATGGCCTTGGCCTCATGTATGTTTAGATAAAAAGGACACCAAAAGTGGTCATAGGAAAACCCCTACCGCATTTATAACAAATCTCCTACATAATAAACACTTATCAAATTTTTTCTTTCATAGTACATGAGAGGCAAACCTTATGTATGGAATTGTTATGCCTTATTCTCTAGGACAAGGCCAATAATTCATTGATTGGCTACGTTTTTTCTGACTGACCAAGATTAATCACACATTTGCATTCAACATTACAGTGCGCAGACCCTATGACCTTCATATCAGCTTTCTAAGTGTGTGTTCAATTTAAATTTCTATCTATATTTTTCCTGTTTCTTATATATTTATACTTTCCCATTGCAGTATATGGATTCTTGTAAGTCACTGCAAATTCACTGGGAAACAAAGTGAAATTTGAATGAATAAATGGATGAACAGGCGGACAGATGGATAAGTGTCTTGCCTAGAAATTGGTCATTTTCTGATGCTCATGGGAAAGGACGCAGATCTATGAAAACAAGACTAGGGGATTTCTCTGCTTTTCCAGCCTAGAAATAAGTACAGTATTCATATGCCTGCTAGAATAGGCTACTGATGAATGAAATGAATGACTATTCAAACAAGTAACACAAGTCCACATTCTGGAAGCACCAACTTGTCCACTTTTTTTTTTTAATTTTTTTTAATGTTTATTTATTTTTGAGACAATGCCCGAGACAGAGTGCAAGCAGTGGAGGGGCAGACAGAGGGAGATACAGAATCCGAAGTGGGCTCCAGGCTCTGAGTTGTCAGCCCAGAGCCCGACACGGGGCTCAAACTCACCAGCCGTGAGACCATGACCTGAGCCGAAGTCGGACGCTTAACCGACTGAGCCACTCAGGCGCCCCACCAACTTGTCCACTTTTAATTCTGCTATGATCGTAGGAAAGTTGGACAAGGATGTGCTCTCTTGGGTAGATGTACACATTTCTTCCCATTGATATATTACAACTTATTGTTAATTTCTTATCTAAGGATTTCTTTTCACCCAGAAATTTATCCTAAAGAAATAAAAACAGACGGATACAAAGATTAAAGTTTGGGCTCTGGAGCCAGGCAGCCTGGGTTCAAATTCAGCTACTCCTCTTACTAGCAGTGGGACCCTGATAGAGTTACCTTAACCACTCTGTATCTCACTTCTCTTATCTGCAAAATGCTGGTAATAATAGTACACGTCATAGGATTTGTATGACGATTAACTAAGTTAATACATGTAAAGCATTAAGAACAATATATGGCACATGGTAAGCACTCAATAAAATTGTAATTATTTTTAAAAATAAAAAAGGCAAGGAGAGATAAAAAGTAATGTTTTCACATCATTGCTTACAATATGAAAACACTGACAACAGCTTAAATGTCCGTTAATATGGTGTTGATTTTTCTAAAAATGCTATAGAAAGATATTGTTATGGAAAGAGGTTCCATTTATATTTGTAGGTGAAAAAAGTACATTAAAGTACATAATATGATCCTTCCCTGTGGTTTTTTTTTTTAATATGTACCCAGAGACACACAATCTTGGCGGTCCTATATCAAAATGTAAATAATTATTATTTGTAAAGACAGCAGGATCATAACTTTTATACTTGTACTTTCTAAATTTTTTATGAAGCATTACTTTTTCAGATACACGTACATATATACACATACACATAAGAAATAGATATACATATACAATTTACAAATATACATATAAACTTTAAGCCAAGGTCTATAAGTCCCTACACCATTTTGGTTCCACCTCTTCTAATCTCATCTACTTTTAAAAAATTAATTAATTAATTTTTTATTTTAGAGAGAGAGAGAGTGAGCAAGCCTGGGAGAGGGGCAGAGAGAGAATCTTAAGCAGGCTCCACACTCAGCGTGGAGCCCGACACAGGGCTCGATCCACAACCCTGGGATCATGACCTGAGCAGAAATCAAGAGTCAGATGCTCAACCAACTGAGCCATCCAGGTGCCTTTAATCTCTTTTACTTTAATCTTTCAATCACTCTCTGACAGCTCATCCTATCAGACTTTCCGTTTTCTTGCTGATCCTCCAAAATACCAAGGTTGATTACTCACGATCTCTGTACATTTCTTCTACTTGGACTGTTCTTTCCCTGGAAAAACTCGGATACTGCACAGCTCACTCTCTAAATTCTTAAATTATTATTTTTTTTAATGTTTTTAAAAAATTTTTTTTAACGTTTATTTATTTTTGAGACAGAGAGAGACAGAGCATGAACGGGGGAGGGTCAGAGAGAGGGAGACACAGAATCTGAAACAGGCTCCAGGCTCTGAGCTGTCAGCACAGAGCCCGACGTGGGGCTCGAACTCACAGACCGCGAGATCATGACCTGAGCCAAAGTTGGCCGCTTAACCGACTGAGCCACCCAGGCGCCCCAAATTATTTATTTTTTAATGTTTACTGTAGTGTTGTTGTTTTGAGAGACAGAGTATGAGTGGGGGAGGGGCAGAGAGAGAGGGAGACACAGAATCGGAAGCAGGCTCCAGGCTCTGAGCTGTCAGCACAGAGCTCGACGCGGGGCTCGAACTTGTGAACTGCGAGATCATGACCTGAGCCAAAGTCAGATGCTTGAACTGCGAGATCATGACCTGGGCTGAAGTCAGATGCTTAACCGACTGAGCCACTTAGGCGTCCCTCACTAAATTCTTTTAGGTCCCTGCCTACAGGTCACTTAGCAGTGAAGCTTTTCTTGACCCCCTCATATAAAACAGCTTCTCTCACTGTCACCATCAGGCCATACACCCTTACTCCTTTTCCTCATACCACTTGCCACCAGGTGACAGGTTATTTGGTTTTTGCTTATTTCCTTCCACGAAAAGGGACTCTGTTTTGCTCACCAAGCAACAGAACGGTGTTTGGCTCACATCAGATACTTAGCAAATGTTTGCTGAATGCATTAATGGATGAACTGCTTTTAGTGCTGGTTCTCTCCTTGCTACGCATTTTCAAAAGAAACTTATTAAGCAACTTTGGCCCAAATGAACTGTGGGGCAGGAAAAAGTCAATGATCTGGGAATCAAAGACTGGACTGGCACCTGACTTAGCCACTAACAAGCTGTTCAGTTCCAGGCACTCAGTTGCGATCTCCGGGCTAGTTTCATTCCTCCTTAAAATGAGGAAGCAGAACTAGAAGTTGCCTAAAAAATCTTCTGGCGCTACCAGTCTGTGATTACTCCGTAAACTCTTTCTGCATTTAGGCAAGGGGACAGAGGGAATCAGTACACCAAAAGGCAAATGTAACAACTCCAACAGTATGGAACCAGCCTTGAAAGAACCAATGGACCAATAGGAAATGCAAGGGATGCACTGGTGCTAATGTGTGTTTGTGAGAGCCCAGAGAGGGAGAGAGAAGGAGAGAAAGAAGGACAGGCTGGGGCAGGCAGATGGGAAGGGGAGGAGAGAAGGTGTTTAGGAAAGAAACAATTTCTTCTGTAGCAGTTCTTGATTCTTCCTTCCCTTGATCATACCCTCAATTTCCTCCTATGAGTTTCCTTCTCCTGTGGAGCCTGACCACATACACCCAACTCTCCATTTTTCTGTAATTCTCAGCTCTCTCCTCAAACACTTAAGACAACACCTCTGAAGGCACTCACTTGTAATGCCATGAGTCAAGCTCTACTCTCACCAGATAGGTGGAATGAAAGATGATTCCTGTCTCTCCTCAAATGGGATAAAAAGTCACAGGTCAGGAGAGTCTTCCCAGGATTAATCTCTTTCTTCTTTCCTTCTTCTAGACAAGATGGACTGGAGGACAGAGAAGCAACTGGAACCTTCGCTCTGGGCCCCAAGACTGTAAACTCACAATCATCTGTAGCCCTAGGTTGGCCTTGTGTAGATTTTTTTTTTTTCTTTTAACATTTTATTTATTTTTGAGACAGAGAGAGACAGAGCATGAAGGGGGGAGGGGCAGAGAGAGAGGGAGACACAGAATCGGAAGCAGGCTCCAGGCTCTGAGCCATCAGCCCAGAGCCCGACGCGGGGCTTGAACTCACGGACAGAGAGATCATGACCTGAGCTGAAGTCAGACGCTTAACCGACTGAGCCACCCAGGCGCCCAGCCTTGTGTAGATTTTAACCAGGGCTGCTGGAAACTGAAACAGGCAGGTACATGCAAGAAGGACCCACAGGTTCAATTACAGTCTTCCTGCAGAGACACTAAGGGTTCTCTCAAAAACAAACAAACAAACAAACAAACAAACAAAAAACAATGATCCCAGGTCGAAATTCACTTAACATTCACTCCTCTGAAAGAATACAAACTAACTTTATTGTTTCAGAGTACTATGTTGCAAAAAGGAATGAAATTTCAGGTAAAACTCCTCTGGGTTTGAACACCATCTCCTCCACTTACTACTAGCTGTGTGCTTTGAAGCAGGTAACTCCACATCTCTCTGTGAAATGATGAGGACACTTAACAACGCTGAGTAACCATGATAAATAAATGCACTTTGAAAAGTGTTTAACAAGTGTTTGGCTTTCGATATGCTGGCTCTCGTCTCCGCCACCTTGAGGGGGTTCACTGCAGTTTGAGAGTCAAAAGGCTCCTAGAATAAGGTGAGGGGCAGTTCAACGCCCAGGCGTGGGCTCCCTACGCAGTGCACAGCACCTACAACACGGCGACGCAAACAGATCCGCCGCACCCCAGCCAGACCTGGGCTCCACCCCAGGGCAGCGGGAGCCTCGTCCTTCCTCGGCTTTCTGAGTCACATGCTACCGTGCAGCAGGGTTACCTACAGTTTGTATTTCCTTTGCATGAACCAACACGCCGGTCTTTGCCCTTAAACTGTCCCTGCAGCCCTTCACGATCACTAGCAGCTCAGCACCCAAGCACGCCGAGGAACATAGGCCACTTCCGGAGGGCCCTCCTGCGCGTGCGCGGGAATAACAACGCGCCGAGATTTCGCGGGGTCTTCCCGGCAAAGCCACCTGAGACTACATTTCCCACAAGGCTCGTGGAATTTATGTCGGCAAAGCCTTAGGGGTTTCCCCTTCATCTGGTGGAAATTTCTAGTTTGGTGGCCCTTGAGCTTCATGGAGCGCTCTGGTTATATTGAAGAGAAACGTGTATGTAATTTTGAGTTATTTATATAGAGATGACATATGGAAAATATATAGCATATCGACATGGCAAATAGGAAACAGTAATTTATTGAAAGGAAAGTGTATCATGGCCAAATGTGATTTCTTCTTTCTTTTACTTTTTAAAAAAACTTATTTTAGCAACACAGAAATAACATAAATATGTTTTTATTTTAAATAATTTTTAAATATTAACTGTTTAATGTATTAGAGCCCTGCTAAAAAGGTTCTTTACTTCAGACAGCCTAATTATGAGTAAGTTTCAGTCTTTTTTATTACGGTCTTGCTGTAAAGTAACATTGGCAGTCCAATTTCAAGTTTCACTCAGGGAAAAGACTTTATAAAAGGAAAAGAGGGGCGCCTGGGTGGCGCAGTCGGTCAAGCGTCCGACTTCAGCTCAGGGCACGATCTCGCGGTCAGTGAGTTCGAGCCCCGCGTCGGGCTCTGTGCTGACCGCTCAGAGCCTGGAGCCTGCTTCCGATTCCGTGTCTCCTTCGCTCTCTGCCCCTCCCCCCTTCATGCTCTGTCTCTCTCTGTCTCAAAAATAAATCAACGTTAAAAAAAAAAAATTAAAAAAAAAAAAAGGAAAAGAGAAGGATTACCTAATCATTTTTGGCTAGCTACAAAAAGGAGAGTGTATCTCAAAGGAATCAAGGTGGGGAAATGACTAGTTTCTAGAGCAAGTCTTAATCAATGAAAGCCATTTTAAAATTTCTTATTAGGAACGATAGTTTCTCCCAGAATTGTACCAGAATGATAATTTTCCCCATGAATTATAGTGTGCAAAACAAAAACAAAACCCTTTTGCCCAGAGTGGGTTTGAGACACTTTCTCTTTTACATGGTTTTTTATGTTTGTTTTTTGCAGATCTTTTTACCTCAATCCTCTGCCCCCACCCTTTAAAATAAAATGTGTGGAGGCACCTGGGTGGCTCAGTCCGTTCAGCCTCCAACTTTGGCTCAGGTCATGATCTCACTGTTCATGAGGTTGAGCCCTGAGTGAGACTGCACACTGACATCACGGAGCCTGCTTGGGATTCTCCCTCTCCCTGTCTCTCTCTCTCTCTCTCTCTCTCTCTCTCTCTCTCTCTCTGTGCCCCTCCCCCATTCATACTCTCTCAAAAATAAATAAACATAAAATAAAATGTGTGTATACTATCAGGCCTTATTGTAAGCATATATCTAATATTCATTCAACAAAAACATGTTGATCAAGCTCATGATATGTACCAGGCATTGATTTAGGTGTGTACTAATGAACAAACAGATGAAAATACCAGCCCTCATGGAGCACTTGTTGTATTTTATTTGATACTAATAAATTTTTGATGAAAAACAGGATATTTCTCCTACAGATTACTTAATTACAAAGGAAAAAAATGGTAATTTTGCAATGGAGAAACCTGGTAGATGCCACCTTAACCAAGTGATCAAAGTTAAAATTACCAGTAATGAAACAAGTCAACATTGTGCCTCCTGTCCTGAAATGTTGAGAATATCACTTATGTGATATACTTGCCGAAAATGCATTCCTTAAATCTAATTATGAGAAAACATCAGACCAACTAAACACGAGGGACATTCAACAAAATAACTGGCTTGTACTTTCCAAAAATAACGAAGTCATGAAAGATGTTGAAAGGATGAGGAATTATTTCAGATTAAGGGAATCTAAAGAAATGCAGTGGGAAAAGACCCTGAATAGCCAAAGTAATGTTGAAAAAGAAAATCAAAGTTGGAGGCATCACAATCCCGGACTTTAGCTTGTACTACAAAGCCGTAATCATCAAAACAGTATGGTATTGGCACAGAAACAGACA